CAGGCCCTTTGTCTTCGGTTGATATCTCAGAATGAACACACTTAGCCTGCTGATTCTTTAGCCTCTTAAACCCCTTCTTGGGCATACTCTCAAGTGTGCTTTTGCTGTCCCTGCTCTTTTTGATGCCATCTATAAACAGAAATAGCTAGCTTAGGTGACTTTGAATCAACTGAGTGACCTAGCCATTATAGTGTGAAGTCACGCAGAAGACAGGGGAGATTTGCACCTTATAGCCTAACTATAATAGAAATGCATAAGCTTTCATAAGCTGCAGGTTATGTCATCAGATATTAATGTTTTTTGATGCTGTTTTGGAATCAGCTGTTTCTAAATCTAAGGGGAAATTAAAGTTATGCCAGTAGCTGCTCCCAGAAGTGGTTTGCCATAAAGTGGGAGTTCTTTTGGAAGAGATTTTGGGTATGTGTTTAGAAGATTCATAACAACTTATTTTAGAGGTATTTGTTGAGAAGGGGTGATATGAAGGAAAACCTGTAAGCCAGCCTGGTCATTGCTTTTTTTGCCTTGCAATCTCTCTCTGTGAAGAGGTGGTTCAAGCACTAAAAGCCTGATTGCATTTCCTTGGGCTGGACACAGCATGAGAACTGCTTGCTCAACAAGCCATGTACTGGCTGACTCCAAACCATGAAGGATGATAGAAATGGTGGAAAAGGTCTTTTAGATTAAATTATCTAATAAATGCTCCTCACTGTATGTTCTCCAGTGTTTCATTCAATCCCATTTTAAATTACCTGGGAATGAGGATTTCCCTGGTTCCCTTTTGAGATGTTTTCACCAACTGTGAAAGAATTCACTTCCCTTCATATTTCAATGTAAGAGAAGTTTTGTTATCATATGGAAACGTCATCAGTTGTTGACAGCAGAGTAGCCAAGGAGACATACCTATAGGTTGGGGAACTCCCTTCTCGTCAGCACAGAGGCAGAAAGGGATCTTGGAGTCATTTTTGATTCCAAGGTGAACATAGACTGCCAATGCGAGGAAGCGGTCAGTAAGACTAACTGTACTTTGTCATGCATCCACAGATGCATCTCAAGCAGGTCCAAGGAGGTGATACTCCCCCTCTATGCGACACTGGTCAGGCCACAGTTGGAGTACAACATCCAGTTCTGGGCATCACACTTCAGGAGGGATGTGGACAACATGGAGACGGTCCAGAGGAGGCCACTTGCATGATCAGGGGGCAGCAGGGCAGGCCCTACGAGGAGAGGCTGCAGGTCCTGAACCTGTTCAGCCTCCACAAGAGAAGGCTAAGAGGGGATCTGGTGGCCATCTGTAAACTTACTAGGGGGGAGCAGAGGGGAATGGGAGAGACCCTGTTCTCCCAAGCACTACCGGGGGTAACGAGGAATAATGGCCACAAGTTGACTGAGAGTAGCAGACATCAGGAGGTGCTACTTCACAGTCAGGGCGGCTAGGATCTGGAACCAACTTCCAAGGGAAGTGGTCCTTGCTTCTACCTTGGGGGTCTTCAAAAGGAGGCTAGATAATCATATGATCCCAGCATTCATTCCTGCCCATGGCAGGGGTTGGACTTGATCTGCTCAGGTCCCTTCCGACCCTAACAACCCTAACAACTATGAAACATTCTGGTGGTTTTTCACAAGCTTTTTGTGAGCTTTAGATTCTGGTGGAATGAAGGTATTAAAAGCAGCGAGACTCTGCTAGGAATAAAGCCAGAATTGCTGTCTAGATCCAGCGTTTCCATCTGCTTTGCACAGGCAAACAGCAGGGATTGGAGAGCACAGCTACTGAAGCAGGAGCCTGGGAAGGAAGCATTCAAAAGAGCTTCCCGCTGGGCTGAAGAGTAGTCAGTAAAGATCTCTAAAAAGGTGGCAGCTCAGTTGTGTTTTAATAATCACTTGGGCTTTGTTTTAGAAACTTGATAGTTGAAGGACCCGCACCCCCAACATCCCCTTATTCCCAGAAGCCCGTCTCCGGACACTGTCGTCAATCTCAGAGTTCATTTCCTGGTTAAGCAAACAGTAATTAAATAACACAAGACGGGCAACGCCTAGAGACACTGTCTCAAAACTCACCCTAGACAGGTCATGTGACACCCGGGGTCCCAGTGTTTTGTCTCTCGGCTAAGACATATTAATCACAAGTAGAATGACAAGCTGCGACAATCTGTATACATGAAGGGAGACCAATGGTGAAATATACTCTCCTTCTTGGCAGCAAAGAGCCAGGCTTGTCAATAGAGGACGTGCAAAGTGGCCAGTATTGGGTTTGGTGATCCAGCAATAAAAGTCCCATTCAGTTGCTTTATTATGTCTGCTAGTCAAAAGGCAGGGAAGATAAAGCACTTAGAGTATTCTGGTGTTAGCTGTTGAAACTTGGCAGCTCCTATGTACCTACCCTGCATGATACATGTCATCACTGGTCACAAGCAAGAGGGAAACAGGGTAACTTTCTAGAAGTTTTGGTAAGTTGGACACACAAAAGAATGCAAGTAAATATTCACTGTGATATAAAAGGTACCTGAAGAATAGTAGGAATTACCAAAGGCAAAATGTAAGATGGCTTTTAGGGTAAATACGTTTTTTATATCAAGTTCTCTTACTTCGCCTACGGAAGAGCATCCTAAAGGGAAGAGGTAGCAGCAGAAATGTTTGACACATGAAAAACTAGAGTAGATGAAGCAACAGAACAATCCTGAGCTGGTAGAGAGATGGATTAGATGGCTGAATCCAGTGAATAATTTGATCCTCAACATCTTCTGATTGTCTCCTGATCAGATTAAACTAAATAGACTAAAACTGGGCAAGATGGATCATTTTGTGCCTCCTCCATTCCTGAAGCCTCATTCTTCTAGCAGTGGTTCTGAACTTCTTCCACACTGTAACTCCACTGGCATGTCTACATGTTGCCCTATGGCGACATTGTTTCTGCACCATGCTTTAGCACTTCCCTTTGGAAGTAACCTCCTGTACTGCGTCATGTGCGTGGTGCACAGTTAGTTTTAGCCACTAATTCGCTGTAGTGGCACTGTAAAATAGGGGATCGTGCCGCTACGGTGAAGTAGCTGCCGGTCACATGTAGATTCATGCCATAACGCACCATACAGTGACATAGCACATCGGTATGGTGACATAGGGTAATGTGTAGATGTGCCCCCTGAGATCTGTGCCTAATCCTCCTCTGGAATTATCAGCACTAGGTCGAGACCCCACAAGCTTGCGGACCAGGGCACCTGATCATCTTCCTTGGTGAAACTGTTCCATTTCTTCCATTTATTTCATCAGTAAAAAAATAGATTTATTTGCAGCGTATTTTGAATAGACCTCGATTACATTAATAAGGGCAATTTTAGGACTCATTTTTGAAGCTGCAGTTTTCATATTGAAGGAAAATAACAAGCCTAACTTTTTGTAAAACAATCCTTACTTGTGTAATGAAAGTATGAAAACTGGAGAAATTTTAAAAGCATAACTTGCACTTTATCGTTTACTCTGATTTCCCCCCGTATGCTACTTGTGAGTAATGGGAATGGAAATCAGATTAGTGGGTTCCAGTTTAGTCAGTTTCACAACTGGGTTGTTTCACACACCAGTTACCGCACTGCTAGATTCCCATCACTTTCCAGGGAATGTTTCAGCCTTCCCTTTGCTTTTTAAACCTTTATTATCCTATTTCCAGCCTGACTTGGAAAGGACCAGAGATGTTGGAGGCAGAGGTGTCAATTGTCACAAGATTATATATCCAGAGATGAAAAAGGCCTAGAGAATCTGGGGAATTACTGTTCACATTTCTCTTATCACAAGTGTGTAAATATTGGAGACAGACTTCCGCTGCAAGTTCAAATGTAATCCAAACTTTACCAAAGTCAGATGGCATTCAGATCTGGAACTTTAGAAAGCAATGGATTAATGACACACCTGGCCTTTATAGCTGATACCGTTGATGCTGCCTGCTGAGAAGGAATTTCTGGTTTCCTATTAGCAGAAAGAGATATTTGTCTGAAATCAGGAGGAAGGTAGGGTGGGTGGAACCTTAGAGACTAACTGGTTCAGAGAGGCATAAGCTTTTGTAGGCACGAGTCTACTTTGTTAGCATCTGCAGTACACTGTCTCCTACAAAAAAGTATGCCTCTCTGAACCAGTTAGCCTAAGGTGCCACCCTGCCCTACCTTCTGCCATTTCCTATTGCATGTATCACTGAAAGCTGCTTCTCTACTTTACTACAGCTGCTAACCAAGTTGGTAGCCTTAGTATAAGATTTCTTTTTCAATAAAGGATTCTGTGCTTCTATCCATTTCGTACCTTTAAAATGATTCATGAAATAGAAAGGAAGCACCATAATTAGCCTTTCGCGCCTCTAAGAACCATTGCCATTGCTTCTTTGGCAGGTTTCCGTGCCTTCTGAGATCTCTGCCAATTAGGCGCATGCCGCTGTGATCTCAAATGATGCTATTTGCTTTAATAACGTGCTGTTTGTTTTCCTGATATATTTATTGCAGTTTAATTTGGTCAATTTGTTTAGTGTGCAATAAAGCCCTTTGACTTCTTTGCTTCCACAGCTTGCACAGCAGTCAGAACAGTTTGGAATATAACTATATTTTAAGAAGCTAGCCCCTTTTTTCTTGCAAGCGAATGTAATGAACAAACCATATCAGCCCTGTCAGTCCTGAAATTACCTTCCTGCTGCTAGGATCTGTCTGTGTTTCTGCCAAATTTTGCGCCCATTGGAAATAATGGAGGTTTTCTTTCTGACTTTGATAAGATAGGGCGTTTTAAACCTTGACAGTCTGTCAGCATTTACAACCGTTAGCATATTACTGTTATTTATGTATTCGTGTTTCAGTAGCCCCAGCGAATCCGACCCATGGAGCAGTGAGTTACACACTACTCCAATGCAAAATAAATGTCTGGTCCTTGCCCCAAATACAAGAAACACATAAATTGAATAAGTTCTCTGGCTCTTACAGTTTTCTCTTTTGGAAGGGGAGATTTCCTAACGCCTGTGATTTTGTTTTCAACAGAAAGGAGGACACTCCAGAGCTCACCTCATTGCCCAGGAGCTGGTGTCTTCAGAAAAAACGTGAGTACATCATTATCATCTGGCTGTTATTTTGTAAATGCAGTTACACGCTCCACCCCTGCTTCATTCAGCATTAGCTTGGTGGCAATTAATAATGTTCTGTCTTTTTCCACAGATACGTGGAGATGCTCCGGCTGTTACATACAGTAAGTAAATCATTTTAATTGTTGAAACCTAATTACCCTCTTACTTAGCTATAATTTAGGAGACAGAAAAAGCATTGAAAAGAGTGAGGTGAATTCTGCTTGGAGTGGCTTACAGCTGCGAAGCACTTGCTGAGGCATTGCAAAGAAATCTGTCATTTGATAAACTGCTCTTTCTGTAGATGCCAGAAGTCTGGAGTTTTCATAGGAAAAGCCTCGGGGCAACAAAGCTTGCCAACGGCTTGTTTGCAGAGGGTATTTTTTCCTTTAAAGAACAACACTGAATGTGTAGGAAAGAGAAGGAAAGCAATTCAGAGAAGGATTGAGATATTATGATTGAGATAGGAATGAAATTTCAACATTGAGAAAATACAGACTAAAATAACTGTGATATTTAGTGATCTAGCTTCTGGAGGGTCTGTGTCAATTAGCACTTGGTCCTGTCTGACTTTGCTCCCCCTAAGTCTTGCTTTCTAAGTGAGGGGAAAAACCAAACCCAGCTACTACAGCTAGACATGGCCTGATGTAAGGCTAGAGCAGTTACATGATAGATAAGGTCATGGCTACCTCAAACAGATGCAGGTAGCAGAGTAAAGTCAGCATGGGCAGAACTTGAGTTTTGCTCCCTGCATTATAGAAATTAAGGACCAAAACATGTAAGGAATCATCCCTGCCGTTCCTGGCTAACATAGGACTGGTCTGTATTATGAATCCTCCAGTGTTTTGTTCATAGTAGTTATGTGTCCCAATCAATGGGGCTTCCACTACTACACAAGAAAGTATTCCACAGTCTCATTCATATTTGAGAGGCAAGAGGAAATGGCTACCAGAGCTGTCTATAGAGAAGAGCATACCCACTGAGGAATAAACCCTTTGACAATACCAGATATAGCAGACAGTTGTCTTGGTGGAGTTGGGGAATCATTCAGTGGAGGGAGACGTCTCTCATGAACTACCAAATGATGAGATCAACAGTGCACTGCTGTCTCCTTATTGTGTCTGTCTTGGGTAAGTTGCCAAAGCTGAAATAGGTCATCCCAGGCTTGGACAGCAGAGTCAAAAGGAGAGCCACCTTCAGTGTGACCAACACTTGCAGACGGTTGTTTTTTTAGAAGCTGGAGACTGATGGGCCTGCCAACTGGGAGCTGAACACTGCAACAGGCTTAACTGTTTAGTGAGAGTTTCTCATGATATGGAGAAGTTGGTAAAAACTAATTTAGCTCCCTATCCTGTGTGCATAGGGGTTCCCACCAGAACAAATTCCAGTTCAGGAAAATGTACGATTTGCAGAATTCCCTATATAAGCAAGGCCTCTGTGTTACTGCTGCTGGGCTTTGTGCTCTGGAGAGAAACAGGAGGAAGGCCACCTCGAGAGAACCTCTTATTGGCTGAATGGGCAACTAAAGTTCACTTCAGCCATAAAGCTCTGCACTGTAGACCTGGTACCAAGAAGAGGGGTGGGAAACAAGGTGTACCTAACTCGACTCTCCTAGAAGAACTGAGAAAAGCAGCAGCTTGAACACAAGGGATATCAAGAGCAGAGTTCATCAGCTATGAGAGACAGGAGATGCTGTTGTTTTCAGAGCACCAGACTGGCTTGGTCTGCACCAGGCTGGTGGAAGGAAGACGGAGAAACTATCCTCTCTGTGTTGCACCATCATGAAGGGACAAGTCAGCCTTTGTCCTTTGGTCCTCTGCATTGCTAGATTCCCTATACAAAGCAGAGCAACAGCAGAGCTGGGTCCAACATTGGGAAAAACATATCCCACACCCTGGAAAAGGGTGTAGCTGACACCTCTTCAGCCCATGGTTTCTAAGTATCTCCACACTGCCTCGGGAATGTACCTCTGGGACAATGGGCTCCCTAATGCATTGGAAGAATTCCATATAAGGCTCCAAAACTGAATTTGATGCCAAGGGCAGTGTTGTTGTTAATGAATTATTTGGGTGTTATCACAACACGCTCCAGCAAAAACTATTGGGGAAGAACAGAAAAAGTCATTTTTGTCTCTCCTCTCTGTGGTGGTAGTTGTGCCAGAGGACAAGGCTTTTGTTTTATGCCTATGTTAAAAGGTTTTGGTTTAGAAATGGTTGTGCAGATTACCAATGGTTACCATTCCAGCTGGAAGGAATCCTAACCACTAGTAATCCATAATAAAAAGAACTCTCATAAAAATAACAGCTATCACTGGTTAGGAGAAAACTCTGTTTCAACCTAATTTTATCTACTTCAGCGCCACAACGTTGGCTCAAGGCATAAGGGAATGAAAGCAAAGAAGGGTTTCCAGATCTGGCCCCAAAGTTTAAACTACTTACTGTTCTCCTGTCAAGAAACTAGCATAGTTTCCACACAGCCAGTGTGTATTGCAGAAACTGCGTAGCATTAACGGTAGGTTTGTTTGCCAATATTGAAATTATGTTTTAAGATGTGAGGGAAATTGGCCACGTTTTCATGATGATTAAAACATAAGACTTGGATCGGCTGGCTAATGTCATTACAGCCAAGAAAGGATACCTGTGATAGCCATGTGAGGATGCTGGAAGAGTTTCTGAGTTCTCATTAATTTCATGTGGAGACGCTCATTTGGTTTCAATGTAAGTGTCGGGTTTGTACCTGAATGTTGCATGAAATGATCTTCAGCTGGGATTTCATTGTCTTTCTTGCCATCCATTCATTCATGGAAAAAATCCTGAAGGATTCATTATGTGCATTTCCCTTTGGGCTTTATTATAGCAATTTTTTTTTTAATGTACAGCAACAGGGGAAGAATTTTACATTTAGATTTCAAATGCAAGGTGTGCCCACACCAAAGCTTGGCACCCAGACATTTTTAACAACTCCAGATGGGCTTCCAAACTTTAGGGTTCTCTTGTCCCCCTCACCATCTCCATTTCACTGAACCGATCCCAAGCCCACAAGTTTGATGTTAAACTTGCAGCTGTGAGCAAGCTCAAGTGGTGAGACGTTTCAGCTGTGTGTTTTAGTTAGTTGGCATTATTTCCTTTTAATATCACTGCACACAAAAGCCACATTAAAATATTATGAAGGTTGTAAAGTCAAACACCCAAGGGTTGGGAAAAGCCAGAATTAGTGCATCTACATCTCACCTACTTGGTCCCAGCTGCCCCCTGATCATAGTGTTCATCCCAGGCAGTAGCCACAGAAAAAAAATGAATGTTTCTGTTCTTCCCAGGGTGAAGTTCCATCTCCTTAGCTCTAGTTTGTGGCATTTGTTCACACTGGAAATGTGCCCCTCCATTATTCATAAAAATATCTACTCCTTTAAAGTCCAAAGACTGTAGGTGACTGTTGTCAGCAGAAGCTATTAGTTTGGGTTTAGCAGTTACCTCTTGATTGGTTCTGTGGATTCATTTCATGGCTGTGAAGAGTTCATGGATAAGTGGATCCTTGAAAGAAACAGCACAAGAAAGAAGGGATCTGTCAGAAGAGGCTTTTCTCTCACTTGTTGGTCATTAGTTCAAATCCTCCTCAGCTTAGTAAGCATTGAAAGTTCCTGTGAAATGAGTTTGATGGTCTTATTTCTGTCCTCAATGCCTAGGTACTTACTCACAAGCAAACATCCTCACAGTTGGCTTCTGCAGCTGCTATGTTTGTTGGAGATCACATCAAGGTGGCACTCAAAATGACTAGACAGCGGGGATGCTCTGACTGCTGCTTGTTATGCTAAACATGCTCACATTGGCATTACCTTATCCTCCCCCACTGCCATTTGGTTTTTCTATCCACCTGCTGTCTCTTGTCGTGGATTAAGACTGTGAGATTTAATGAGCAGGATTGGTCTTTTTTGGTACCATTGGGTCTTCTCCCTTGACTGAGGCCTGAGATGTAACCACCATGCAAAAATAAAATAATAATAATGGCTAAGGCATAGTCCTCTTTGTGCATTTAAATATGATTGGGAATGGCTAAGCCTGCTGAAGACATTAGTCTGTGGTGTACCACAAGTTGGAGCAACATCACATTACACAGCTGAAGAGGTTGCAAATAATCTAGCGTGCACAAACTCTCACAGCTACCTCAAGACATGCAGGTACTCCCCAAGGAAAGAGGAATGGAAGGTGCCCCCAAGAAATCTCAACTGAGATAAGCTATTCTTGTTCATTTTATTATCATCCACTTGCTCAGCAAAACATTTTGAAAGCACTATTTTTAAAGTCTGATACTTTTTTTTTAACAAACCTGAAGCTCAGTAATAAAAACTAAGCACCAAGCCACACCCTGGCTGTTTTTTTGGGGAGGAAGGGTTTTGTCTTAAGGCTGCAGCGGGAGCGTTTTCCATATCATTTCCAGCCGCAGCCGGGGCTGTGATTTGTTCAGCATAACAGAATCTGTTTGGCCTTTCAGCAGTGACTTTAATAGATTGATTGATTGCCAAAATGATGACATTTCCAGACGCCCACTCTGCTATTGAACTGAAAGAGTAGAAATATTGTGTTAGCTCTGTATCAGTTGGCATGGTAGTCATGATAATGATCTGAAGGTTGAGTTGCTATTTGGCCTGCTCCAAGGTAATGCAGTTCTCCGGAGCGTGTTCATCAGAGGGCTCGCACCAGACCAAATAGGCTGGTACTTCTGCTTCAAAGATGCCCTTAGACTCTTGGTAACTGGGCACTCTTTTCCAAAATGTTTATTTGCCTTCCTCACCACTTCCACAATGACTTAGCTCTGTTAACATATTTATTTAATCCAAGTTGTATTTGGCTTCTTTTTTTCCCTCCTTTTATATTCACTGCAGAAATGTTTCACAGCCAACTGTATCTCCTTCCCTAAAAACTCTACTCCCCGCTTGAAGGAGTAGGAGACTAATTTTTGTTTGGACTCTCTCCTTTGACCAGTTTGGTTTTACCCAACTGAGAGTACACAACTCCCACCAGCCAAGTTTGTGAAACATGGAGACTTCAAGAAACCCCACTATTTCAAGATATCAAACTGTAAGGGAAATTTATGCCTTATATATTTTAAGGTGCAGCTAGATTGAGGG